TGTTTAACTAACGTAACTACGTTATGCGCAACCTCTCTAATAAAGTACAGTGAGTGCTGGAAAATACTTCCACAACTGTGGACAGTCGGTTATAGGCGATTCACACGACAGCCACTTGCACGTTTTACGGCGAGTGATTTACGAGAAAAGTGACTGTGTGGATTCACATGGCTGCACTCAACAGCGGGCACGTTTGCATATTTGAATGATTCACCCACCAGTTGCCATGAGTATTTCAAATTTTCAAAACACGTGTCCAATAATTATCATGGTGAAAAGAGCCGCGTAAAAAATCAAGTCTTGTTTTGCGCTTTTTGGTGTAAATGTAGTTTACTGCTTGCCACAGATCTGCAGAGGAGCTGAGGGCTAGACCCACAGGACACTTCTGATCATAACTCACTAGACCTAGTCTTTCTTAAACTTGCATTCAGTTTCGGCGGGGACAATACCCCCGCCCCGACACACGACCAACACAATCTTTAACTGTCTTTGACGCCATCACAATATCTATGCAAATACGGCCTAACGGACAAAGTCAAACAAGCCGTGACCTGATGTTGACACAGCCTGGTCAGTATGGAGCTTGCATGTCGAGTCTGCAGTTAAGGAATTCATACCTCAAAAGTTTAAGCGAAATAACCTGAACAACAAACTGTGGTATAATAGGCCATTCACACGACGGGCAAACTTTTGCATGCGTGTGATCAAGATAACACTTGCAACCAGTGAGCCAGTTCACACGGTGCTGGGCAAACTTTGCAAGCCTTGCACACGTCAATGTATCCATAGTGATCTCCTGAAAATGCCGGGAAATTTGATAATTTGAACTTTCCATTTTCCTTTTGAATTCTTCCTTGAGGAAAATCATTCCTTTCGATTTTGATTTGGTAGTTCGTTTTGATTGTTTGTCACCTTGTTTGAAGAATGGCAGCTTCGAGTATGATGGCTCTGCTGGCTATGCAGTCGCAAAGTGATGTTCTCTCTCGTAGAGGATCGATTGCGGGCAAATTTTATGCAGCCCGAAGGAGATGGCAATCGAGGGATGTTCTCCCAACTCGATGGAGTCCATCAAGACGACCACATGTGGTATCGCTCGAGTCTGTAGCTCTACTGGATGCATTTGACTCCTCACGTCGTGAAAGGCGATTCTGGACTGCTCACCCAGAGGGTGAGAACAATGGAACATGGGAAATCGAGGTGAATGGCAGCTGGGCGCGTCTCGGGATTCTCTATCCAGACGTGGAGGAGAGCCGATTTTATCAGCGCTACAGGGTGAACAAGCCCACCTTCAAGAACATCATCGACAAACTGGGACCTGCGTTGGTCAAGCAAGACACCAACATGCGGCAGTCCATCAGCCCACCCAAACGTCTGGCAATTTTCCTGCATTGGATGGCGCAGGGATGTGAGTTCCACCAACTGGCAACGGAGTATCGTGTGGGGACATCGACGGTCCACAAGATTGTTCACGACATCCTGCCTCTGATCTGCGATATGGCTCGTGATGAAATCGTGTTCCCTACCTCTGCAGAGTCACTGAAAATGACAATGAGAGGGTTTGAAAATCTCTCTGGCCTTCCCGGGTGTGCTGGTGCCATCGACGGCACATTCATGCATATTTGCAAACCGGTTTCATATGGCGATGCTTACTTTTGCTACAAGCAGTATCCCGCTATTCTTGTTCTGGCGTGTGTGAACAGTGCTGGCCTCATAACCTACACAAGTGCTGGACTGCCGGGGTCAGTTGGTGACGCGTCGGCGTACAACAACAGTGTGCTGAAGGAAAACATCAGCAGTGGAGAGTGGCTCTCGGGTGTGTCGACACCAGTGCGCGGTGCGCAAGTTTCTCCGTACATTGTTGGAGATGCTGCATTTGCATTTTCTAAACAACTGATGAAGTGCTACACCAATCCTCCGCAGCAGCAGACTGAGGAGCAACGCCGTTTCAACTTCTGCCTTATTCGTACAAGGAGAGTGGTCGAGAACGCATTTGGACGACTGAAAGCTCGATGGCGTGTTGTGTGCCGCAACTTCATCCGAGATCCAGTGTTTGCCGCAGATGTCGCCATTGCAGCTTGTGTTTTGCACAACGTCTGCGAACGTTCAGCTTGTCCGTTCGACAATGAGTGGCTGGTGGACATCGATGACGTCAACGGTGAGACCCATGAAGGTGAAGGTGATCCAGTTGAAGAACAAGAACAGCACGATATTCAGACAGCAGAACAGCTACGGTCATTGCTAGCAGATCATGTATCTGCCATCAACCGGTACTGATAATGATTCTGGTCAACTTTGCCACAATCGTAATAAATCCTTTTTGTTGATACTGATCAGCTTTGTCAAACAGTGTCATGAAGATCTTTGTTACGTAAATAACTGTTGTTCGTTCGTGTTTCATATTAGTTTGTTATGTACACTGATGTCTTGATGCACAAGCACAGTCTTGTAGCACTCGCACATGAGCTAATTTCGTTATTCACCCCCTTCTTGACTCTTTTGTGTTTGACTTGTCTTTGTGCATCCATCAATAATTCGGTTCTTTCAAAAATTTACTGCGCATGGAGTTTGAAATAATTACTCTACAAGTAACAATGTGTTTATGAGAACAAGAACACCATGCAGTTGGATATGTCTAGAATGTTTGTGCGTGATGGCGTTCATCAATTGGCTCTCCCACTGAAGTTACGCACACACAGGGAACAGAGGGTACGGATACCTTATTATCACACCGTAACAATTAATAATAGTGTGAGCAGATTACGCCCATGATCAACGAACAACTTTATTTATTTTTTTACTATAGCACCCATTTTGTTAAACCAGGGGATGGCTCACGCCTGGTATGAAGAAAAGAGAGATTGAGAATAGAATGAAAAAACGGACACAGTGTAAATGAAAAGCCTACAATCAACGAACAACTCGAATTTGTTGTGAATTCGGTACTCACTATACAAAACCATGGAAAAGAGTGCACGTATGTACGGACAAGTAGTATGCAGACACGCACGGGGTCAAGACAAATTTCACGTCATTGAACAGTGTATACAGAGGAATGAGAACAATAGGGAATAATATAGAATAACATAGAACAATATCGTTCAACGTATTGACGAGTCGGCTACAAATTGTATTTCTGCATGAGCGCAGCCATAAACGCAGCATTGCTCTGCTGCAAGGCCTGCGCGTGCCGTTGCTGACCCTCTTCCAGTGCTGTCATGACCTTTATGTCTTCGTGTCGCCTTTCTGATTCTACTTTTTCTTTCTCAGCATCGCGCTTGTCCAAGTAGGCAGCCCACTGAGTCTGCATGTTGATTTCATGCTCGAACTGCCTTGCCTGCAGCTCAAGGTTGATGTCCTTGAGCTCCCGCAAGAAAGCGACCTGGCTCTGGCCTTTGCGGCCTGTCCCCTGTGCTACAGGTGATTTGGCAGCCACTGTTCGTTGAGGGGTCTCTGGCAGCTCAGTGACCTCGGTCTCGGTCTCTGCAAGTACGGCACTGTGCCCAGCAGGGGCAGTTGATGCGGATTGCACTACTGGCGTTGAAGGTAGGCTGATGCAGTCATCCTCAGCGTCCCACTGAACGGCATCACTGCTGGTGCTGCTGCTGCTGGTATGACCGCTGGCACTGCTGCTGGCTACGCCAAATAGGGCATCGTCCAGCTGTTGGCGCTGGCTGACATGCGGCAAAAGGCGCTTTGGGGGAGGCCCTAGATCAGGTGACGGTGGTCGTGACCGGCATTGCTGCAGTACGGGTGTCGAGACTAATGAAGACGAGGGCCCATCCGGCACGGGCACCACCTCAGGTGCACGCCTTTCACTCACAGCCACCTCTCTGCAACTTCTGGGACCCCACGTTGGGTGGTCTTTGAAACACTTGTGGAAGGTGCGGAAGTTACTCCACTGCGAGTATGCGGCTTCCAGGTCGACGCTTTCCTCCGCATTGTCACTATCGTGACTGGAGCCGGTCTGCTTCCGGAAGTGCTTTCGGTACAGGTCCCTGCCCTTCACCTTCGCACTGTCCACCTTGTTCGACACTTGGGACGAATTGTAACGCTCCACCGAGCCAATATCTGCAAGGTAGCCGTTCAGGTTCTTGACAACGTCGGCAACTTTCTCCGCTTTCGTCATCATCTTCTTGTCATTCTTGGCAAGCATCTCACCCCATAGCTCGAGGAACTTCTTCTCGGCATCGCTGGAAAAAACTACTTTCGGCATGTTTGCTTCTGATCGGATAGTTACTTCTCGTCAACTACTCAGAAGGCACTTCAGAATGGAAAGAGAACACTTCAGGAACACTTCAAGGTACTTGTCAAGAACACGACACACTTTGTTGCGCGCACTTTCACCAACAATTCACCAACAGTTCACCAACGGTCGCTTCAGAATGGAAGAAGAACACTTGGAAGCACTTGTCGAAAACGGAAGGACAAAATTTGTAGCGCGCACTTTCACCTACAGTTCACAAACAGTTCACCAACGGTCACTTTTCCTGGCGTGCAAAGTATAATCGCGAGCAAAAGGGCCTCGGCCAAGATAAAAAATCTGTTGCTCGCGTGTGTCCAAGTTTATCGTATTCGAGTAAATATCCTTGGAAACGGTACGATAAAAGTGAGTTTGCCCGTCGTGTGAATGGCCTATAATGCAGGAAAATCAATAAATTAAAAAAATGTCACGTTCGGAAATTTTATTGGGTGGTCATCCCGTTTGACTGTGCGAAGTAAAATTAAAACAACCAAATGGTTGGGTTGATCTGCACTGTGCAACCGATTCTCTCACCTTTCTTCCTCCAGCTATGCCTGTGACACCCTTTGTGAATCTGCGCAACACTAGTGGCAGGCCACGCGAAAATGAGAATGCGCGCAGCCAAGTTTAGGCCATCATCTCCTTCATCCATCATCCCGGCGGTAACTCCGCCCGTTCAATATCCAACACCAGTCCCCAGGAAAGAATAAGGCACGAGATTTCGAGTTCAAGGGCAAAGCTAAAGCCAATGGCACTGATTTTTGGAATTGACGAGCAGAACGAAAATAAATAATCGAAGGCGATCATAATGACCATAATGACGGTCAGATTCGACACGCACGTGACAAAGTTTGGGTCGCGCTCGTGTGTCCCGCCTCGCATTTGCTGCAGCTCCAGCTCGCCCATATGGCCATGATGAGTCTCGCGCGCGCGCGACAGGCTAGCCGCTTGCGACAAAAGTTGTCTTTTTTTTACGAATTCTGTGACGTCATGTTTTGGAAGAATGCAACAGTCATTCGCATTTCGAAACGGGGGTAGGGGGGTAGGGGGGGGGGTAGCGCCCTTTTCGAATAGAAAAATGACAGTTCTCACATTTTCTGGAAGTGTACAATCTACTGTCCCCGGGGAAAATTGCGGAAAAAATCGCAAAAAAACGCGGGGAAAAACGCGGCATAATATGGCATAATTTGCGGTGAATTTGCGGTAAATATGCGGTAAATATGCGGTGAATAATATTGATGTGCGGCAATTTTCAGTGAGTATGTAGTGAAATCAATCAGTTACAAGTCTCTGGTGCACTCGTCATATTTGAGTAAAAAGCCGCCACGATGAGACGTTGCTGACCAAACAGTGCACTGTGTGTACGTGTAGTGCAACAAAAAAGTTCAAAAAACGCGGGAAAATCGCGGAAAACGCGGTCTTTTAAAAAATCGCAAAAACGCGGAAAAAAACGCGGCAGCGGAATTGCAATTTTCCCCCGGGACAGAATCTACTACGCCGTGTACGGTGCTTGTAGATCCCTTCACTTCAGCAAATGAGTGTGTTTTCGTAGATCTACCTGTGTTTGCAGATCAGCTACCCTTACACTGCATGCTACTCAGAGGTGTCAAATGTCACACCAGCCTGATCAAACTGTGTACATGGTGTACCTGGCCAGCTTTTTGCAGCAGTACATTCTGCAGTTGTTGTGGAGGAACTATGTTTGTGTGCGTGTACATGTCATTGATTGTACTTGTACTCAGTAAACATGGTAAATGCGGTAGTACTACTACTGTATTCCATTCACTACCGCTCCAGCAAAACATTCATATCCATGTACATGTACATGTACATATTGAGCATACCATAATAATAATAAAATGGCAATAAATAAGATAAAATTGTGCACTCATAACAACAGCAAAAAATGAAGAAAGTCAAGTTCCATAACGTTTTCTTGTGACTGTCATCAGTGGAACGCCGTCACATAAAAATGTAATAACTAAAACACACACTTATATACATGTAGCTAATATGGTTTCAGGTAGAAATACAGCAGCCAGCAAGTACAAAAAAGCGAAGTTTGCATCCCTGTGCTATGTAAACAGAAAGAAAACGTTGTATCACTCACACTCTTCAAGTAATACACACGCACCATACATTCATTCACACAGTATCACACCCATCTGCCACTACCTTTCTCACATACACTATATTATCACTCCCTTAGTATTGACTCACATAGATTTTTGCCATACCTAAGCAGTCAAATATTCCTGCATATTTGACTCCTTACTGGACCTTAGGGCTATATTGACCGCTTATATTTGACTCCTTTTTAGCGATTGACCACATGCTTTGGTTAGTCGTGATAAGTCTAATATTTACTTCGTACTTGGTCAGTATAGGAAATAAAAGACCTCGTAAAAAACCTCGGTCATGCCATGCCATGTCATGCCATGCCATGCCTCGGTCTCGGCATGGCACTGTGGCAGCAGCAAGTGGACGGGCGGTGGTGTCTAGTGCAATGTGCTTCACGGCACGTCACTGAGACCGAGGCCAGGTACTCTGCAACGGAGATTGAACTGCTGGCGGTAGTCTGGGCAGTCCACACGGCTAGACTGTTCCTGGCCGGTGCTGATTTCGAGCTGCTAGTCGATCACAAGCCGCTCATTCCTATCCTGAATGCTAAGACGCTGGATGAGTTGACGTCTCCACGAATCGTGCGACCACGGGAGAAGCTGACGCCTTTTCGGTTCGTGGCTCAGTGGAGACCGGGTGCCGATCACAAGGTCGCAGATTGCCTGTCGAGACACCCAGTAAGTGCACCAGACCCTGACGATAAAGCTGGTGAGGAAGAAATCGAGCACTGCTACTGTGTTCTCCGTCAGCTGTCGCAAGAGGACGAGGAAACAGGCCATACAGTCCTCCCTGACCTTGGCATTACGAAGGTGCGGGCGGAGGGACAGACCCGGAATACCTCAAGCTGCTGAACGCCGTAAAGAACGGCTTTCCGGTGGACAAGGCTGATCTGGACCTCAATCTGCACCCGTACTGGCAGGTTCGGCATGAGATGAAAAAGAAAATGGGTTACGGAGATTGAAGGAAAATATCGATAGAAGTTCCAAGAGAAAGACCGAGAGAGAGAGAGGAGAGAGAGAGAGAGAGAGAGAGAGAGAGAGAGAGAGAGAGAGAGAGAGAGAGAGAGAGAGAGAGAGAGAGAGAGAGAGAGAGAGAGAGAGAGAGAGAGAGAGAGAGAGAGAGAGAGAGGAGAGAGAGAGAGAGAGAGAGAGAGAGAGAGAGAAGAGAGAGAGAGAGAGAGAGAGAGAGAGAGAGAGAGAGAGAGAGAGAGAGAGAGAGAGAGAGAGAGAGAGAGAGAGAGAGAGAGAGAGAGAGAGAGAGAGAGAGAGAGAGAGAGAGAGAGAGAGAGAGAGAGAGAGAGAGAGGAGAGAGAGAGAGAGAGAGAGAGAGAGAGAGAGAGAGAGAGAGAGAGAGAGAGAGAGAGAGAGAGAGAGAGAGAGAGAGAGAGAGAGAGAGGAGAGAGAGAGAGAGAGAGAGAGAGAGAGAGAGAGAGAGAGAGAGAGAGAGAGAGAGAGAGAGAGAGAGAGAGAGAGAGAGAGAGAGAGAGAGAGAGAGAGAGAGATAGAGAGAGATAGAGAGAGATAGAGAGAGAGATAGAGAGAGAGAGAGAGAGAGAGAGAGAGAGAGAGAGAGAGAGAGAGAGAGAGAGAGAGAGAAGAGAGAGAGAGAGAGAGAGAGAGAGATAGAGAGAGAGTAGTAGTAGTAGTAGTATTTATTATTTGACTAGGGGAGTCCCAACAGGCATGGCCTTGTTACAGGGAACCCTAGGTGAATCTTTGTGAGGTGAGCAAAATACCAGCAGATTGTGCCTGACGACAGTTTGGAGGAAGAGTGTTCCACCGACCTGCCGCCAGAAAAGAAACTGAGCGCAGTACATACCCAATATGTACAGTAGGTAATACTAAGGCAGCTGTATCCTGGCCACGAGTACGAGCATTTGTGTGCGGGCCAACTGAACGCAGGAGAAACAGTGACTGAAGGAGGGGGCTAGTAATTGATGACAAGCAGCGATAGACCAAAACGTATAGTTTCAAATTAACTTGTTGCTCAAACGAATACAGATGACACCGTTGTAAAACTAATGCAGTTGGGGTCATTCTATCTAAACCAAATGCCTTCTTCATCGCAATACGGCTGACCGTTACAAGCCTGTTATATAGGGTAGTTTTCAAACAGTGCACATACGCATTACTTGCATATTCTAGAGTAGACTGTATAATTGACAAGAAGAAAGTTCTCCGAGCTGTAGCTGATAAATTGCGACGGCCATGAGCAAAACAGGCTAGTTTAGCGAAGACCATTGAGCACACCTTTTCTACTTGTGGGCGGAACGTTAGATGCTCATCGATTAGTATACCGAGGTATTTCACAGTAGAGAAAGGGGAAATGACAATACCTTTACAGGTCAGGTACAGGGCTGGGCTCAGTGCAGGCAGGGCAGGACGCCGTATCAACATGAACTGTGTTTTAGTGGGGTTGAGCAGAAGGCCTTTCTCATCAAGGTATTGCTCTAGCAACCGCATACTATCCTGCAAGCGTAGCATAGCAAGCGTAGCATAATTGTAGCCACATCAGAGCCGAATACGTAGAACGCAATATCATCAGCGTACAGCTGCACGACACTCTGGTGAAATATATCGGGTAACCGGCGAATGTAGACGCAGAAAAGCAAAGGCCCAAGAACAGACCCCTGGGGGACCACTCTTGTACAGGGTTTGGTGTCACCCTTCTCACCATTGACAGTAACCTGCTGGCTGCGGTTCGTGAGATAGTCTGAGAACCACTTGAGGACAGTGCCGCCTAAGCCAGTGGTGGCTAGCTCTCCCAGCAGACCTGTGTGCTGCACACGGTCAAACGCCTTGCTTATATCCGCAAAGACTACTCCGCATTGGTCAAAGTTGTCAAGTGCTCTGTTCCATCTGTCTATGCAAAGTGTCAGGGCATCCTCACAGCTATGGTGTGAGCGGTACGCAAATTGTTCAGCTGGTATGGCTGACAGGTCTGGATTCTGGGTGAAATACGAAGTGACTTGCTTGTGGACAACCTTCTCTAGGATCTTGGCCGCGATAGGCAACAGTGAGATTGGCCTGTAGTTGGTGGCTGAGGTCTTATCACCAGATTTTTAAACAGGGCAGACATGGGCATGTTTGTAGGCAGCAGGAAAGATGCCAGAGCGAAGAGACTGGTTGACGATAACAGTTAACGGATACGAGACTGAATCTCTGCAGGATTTCAGGATGCAGGACGGAATATCATCGGAGCCGGTGGCTTTGTTGGATACCAGAGATTCAAGCAACTTGGAGATGGTATCGAAGCTGACGGTATCAAACTCCAAAAGAGTAGTGCTATTGGGGTCTGCAACGGGTAGGGGCAGCTCGACTGGTCTGGCAGGGTCATGGACGATCTCGGCGAAGGTAGTTGTCAGATCGGCGAGTGTGGCTGCTGGGGCAGCCCTCACTGCTGTTCTACCAGACAAGCTATTGATAATGGCCCATTGGCCTCGTGGGTCGTGGCGACGATTTTTGAACTCTCTGATGTAATACTGTGACTTCAGCTGCCTGTTGAGGAGAGTGCCTTCTCGCCGTATTGCACGATACCTCTGCAGAAGCTGTTGATCTGACGGGTGAGTGCGTACAGGTGGATTCGTTGCTGGAGGAGGTGTTTCAACTGAGGTGTCATCCATGGCTGAGGCTTCGGTTT